ATGTAGCTAAATTCTGGTTGCCCCAAATAAGTGCTCCCCTATTAATTTTTGTTGCTGGTTGTGCAACTGTTTATGTTTAAGCTTTGCGCCATCGCTACTGATAAACATAGCGAGGGGCATCGTTGATGAACACCAAGATCTTGAACCTTGGTGGGACCAACCTTGCTCAACCCTCAACCGCCAAACATGGCAGCCATCAAGGACGAAAACAACGACCATCTCGTGCAATCCGATAATCCTGAGCATCCTTCTAACCTAATTCCGGCTCTCTGCCGTAATTTCTACAGCCATGGCTGGGTCACTGGCACTGGAGGCGGGGTAAGCTGGCCCGAATATATATTATATACATGTTTATTTTTTTTTAAAGAAAAAGTTATTTATACGCAAAAAGTTTTCGTCAAATACTATTTAGTCAAAGACTCAATCTTGTTTCCATACAAATCACTATAGGCATCCATCAAACGGGATAACCACATTTTCATTGCTCCTTCTGGTGTCCAGAAGGAATTGATCCAACCCCACGACATCTTCGTCTTGCAATACCCCACCCCCAAATACCCTCCATCAGCGCGTCAATATATCCGCAAACCACTCGAACTCAAACCATCCGCCTGCACGCCCCTCTTCCTGGCTGCTTTCGACCGTGGTGCGGGGTGCTGCATCCATACCCATTCCCAATGGGCCGTCCTCGTAACCCTCCTTGTCGAGCGTGAGAAGGGACCGGAGGGTTGCTTTGAGATTAGCAACATTGAGCAGATTAAGGGAATACCTAGAGGCAAGGGAAAAGGCATGTTGGGGTTCTTTGATACATTGAAGATACCTATCATTGAGAATACGGCGTTTGAAGAGGATCTGACATCTAGCCTTGAGGAGGCTATGGAGAAGTATCCGGATACATATGCCGTTCTGGTCCGGAGGCATGGAATGTAAGTATCTATGGGTTAATGCTCTCTCTCTCTCTCTCTCTGTATATATTTACTTTCGACGTCCGCTACTAACATTTCCTCGGCCTTTTAACAGATATGTCTGGGGAGATGATGTCGCGAAAGCTAAGACGCAATGCGAGAGCTTAGATTATCTCTTCCAGCTGGCGGTCGAAATGCATAAACTTGGCTTACCCTGGGTGAAATCGTGATATGGTCTGTTAACTAGACCTGTTTTATGGCCTATATACGCCACGGCAATTTTCTCACGTACAGTGACATGCGGGGCGGCCTTCACCACACCAGAGTTGATCATATGGAACCTGATGGATGATTTTATGGCATATCTTGCTTTAGGGGAAAATAGGTTTTTGACGATGGCCGAGTTCCCACTTCTGACGCTTTAGTTGTAATGGCTGGTTAACAAGAGGTTGTCTTCAACATAAACCTCTCTAGATCGGACTGGTTTCGGGTTCATGTAAAGATTAGATTTGAATTTTAGGACAAGTTCTAACATCAATACATGGTTCCCTTTGCTCGGAAAATAAATTACGCGGCCTGTAAGTTTGGTATTGGCGACCCGCAACCGCTCATTACCATACGGCATAACTTCCAGCTTTCCTGATACACACTGGCAGTGAGGTGCAATTTCATCCACCCCAACTTCAGTCACCGCCGTCGCCAAATATGCGGCCAGTTATCTTATTAGTTGATTAAATCACTTCAATTCACCAGCCCAAACCGCGAAATACGACCGAAAGATGGATTTAGTAGGAGGTGAATCGCCGTGGGGTGGTAAGCCAGGCATCACTTTCTCCGCTCAGGACTCTACAGTCAGAATATCTGATAACCGTGGCTTTCGCAGATGTTCCCTCCCAGTCCGCACCTACCGAAAACCAAGAATCTTCTGCTACGGGTACGCATTTATGTCCCTCTGGTGACATGGAAAGTAGATCAACCATGGGCCCTTGTTGACTGCCAATGTTTCCATCTAGCCAACGATTCTGAACAACCCGCCCAAACAACCTTAACCACCCGCCGATCTCCACCAGCCAGAGGACCCCGAACACCTCGCAAAATAAACGCGCAAGCGACGAGGCTGGAAGTGGTCGATGACTCCCTTGATCCTCTTGGGCCGCTGGGCGACAAGTCCTTTCCGTCCATCCTGTCATACCCGGACCAAGGCCCCACCCCACCCCGAAAGGAACTTTTCTCCAGCAGAAATGTTCGTCCCGCATCATCTACATCCCAGTCGTCCACTGGTGGTTTGATGGACTCTGTGGACTTGGACGATGACGGCCAGGCTGCGCGTGCGAGAATAAAAGGCCCTCCACCGGTCCAGTCCCCAGTTGATGCTCCGAAACGGCAGTCACAGCCAAGCATGCCTGTTGAGCAGGCGGCGAAGCCGTCGTTTGAGATTACAGTTGGTGATCCTCATAAAGTTGGGGATATTGCAAGCAGTCATATTGTGTATCAAGTGAGGACGAAGGTACATACGTCTTTCCATTCTGACAAGACCACACACTCGGTTTTCCCTTCATCTTAGCTGACTGCTAATGTTCCCATAGACTACGTCTAAAGCCTATCGGCAACCTGAATTCACCGTCAGCCGACGGTACCGAGATTTCCTATGGCTATACAACTCCCTTCATGGCAATAATCCGGGGGTTGTGGTTCCTCCACCTCCGGAAAAACAGGCAGTTGGCCGTTTTGATACGAACTTTGTTGAATCACGAAGAGCCGCATTAGAGCGTATGCTTAACAAAATTGCCGCGCACCACATACTGCAACACGATGGAGATCTCAAGATTTTTCTCGAAAGCGATACGTTCAACCTTGATGTTAAGAATAAAGAGAATCGCGAACCGGATATAGGCCAAAATAAGGGCATGTTGAGCTCGTTAGGCATATCTGTTGGAGGACCGGGCAAATTTGTTGAACATGATGATGTGCGTAATTCCCATGGGATGGCAGGGGCCTTTATGCAAATTTGGCTACTAAACTTTCGTACAGTGGTTTCACGATCGCAAGTATACCTTGACGCCCTTGAGAATCAGCTGAAGGGGCTGTTAAAGGCCATTGATACAGTGGTTGCGCAACGAAAAGGTCTTAGCAGGAAGCTGCCAATGACTTT